AAAAAAAATACACATACATGTATATACTCTCTGCACACAGTCACTTGGGGGGCTGAAAATCAATAAATACTACTAGTACTTTAAAAAAAAAAATCATCCGCTATACGTATATAAATAAACAAGTTGTGAAACATGGCACCTAGTAAATTGTCACCCTGTCGGTTTCAAATTTCTATTTCTTACCTTAAATTGCGAAAACAATTGTGTTTTCTGATGATATCCGACAACTTCATGAACGAAAATGGCCAGGAGCCAGAATCAAGGGGGATTTGCACAGAGTTCTGGGTAAATCAAGAAAATACTCGGTGTTACGGCACGCCTGATTGGCTGAAAATAAGTATGCGCACTTGATTTACCCATAATATGACAGCCTAGGAATATACATGTGCCTAGTGTATACATTATTTCATTTGACAAATTCTGGTTAATAGACACGTACCTGCTAAGGTGTAAGCTTTGATATCTGATCACTGATGGCTGAATACGGATTACACATGTCGTTGGGAGAACACCAATTTTCATGGCCAAAATTTAGAAGTCTGGCCTAGCACATAGAAATAACAGAGAATATCAAAGAGCATCAAGGCAATGCCATTCAATATTTTTAGTTTATGTATTAAACCACGGTCGCAATGTCGTAGAGGGACTATGATAAAAATTTCACAGTGCCTTTAAGCTTTTCCTGACATTGTTATCTCAGCAGATATACGTACGGTGTAATGAAAATTTTGTCTTTAATCCTGGACTTGTAGGTCGTCAATTGCGAACAGAAAAATTATAAAAAATGGGAGCTGACGAGTGAGGGACAGTCCGTAGTGGCCGGTGGTAGTCATGAGGCCGTAGTTTATCAAGCTGTACCGCCAGATACTGGTATTTTACAAGCAGATCTCATGGTAAGCATGCATTAAAACAATTCTGATTATGAAAGTACTGCAACTGCATGGCTGTTAACATCTCACCTGCTGAAATCGGCCGATGTTATCTGAAATGACTGGTGTATAATGGCGTCAACAGGCGGTACGTTAAAGTTGCACCAAATTCATTGTGTAACGCAATCTAATCATGTAAGCAAACAGCGATTTTCACATGCAGCATAGTACGTTATGTGGAACCCACATGTAACGCAACACAGCAACTTTAAATATGTGGTGTTTGCAGATACCATAGTAGATCCAACAGACTTTCTGAAAAACATTTATCCCCAAATGTCGAGTTTTATATATGCAATTATATATAGATGCAATTAGATAACACAACCACTAACAATTTGAAAAAAATATGAGGCAGTTGTGCTGCTCCACTTGCCATTGGTGATGACCAAAAAGTTGACACTTTTGTCCCACGTGCAATTATGATGGCAGGTGGATGAAAACAAGAAATAGATGTTGTTTTTGTTGCCTAGGTAATAAAATATTTAAACATATCTGATTAGTTTCATTGCTTCAGGGATTACATGTGGCCACAGTCTTCAACTGTGACCTGTCGGATTTAATTTTGGCCCCAAGGAAGCCCCAAGAAAGCTCCATTTTAACTTAGAATTATCAAAAACTCACACCCTGGCGTGGAGAATCCTATCTCCACCACTTGGTGGCGCTGCTGAATTGGAGTGCTCCCTCATGCAGTTTTTTTGTAGAAAAACCCCTGATTGCTTGCCTTCTTTTTTTGCTTCTAGAAATCGGTTCCTAATGCAAAAATTGGTTTTAGTAAAGCCATGTCAGCTGGCTGGATAAAGATGGATAAAAAAGCAGAAGGAGGCCCTCGTGTGTTCAGGAAGGTAAGATAACAACTGATGTTTTCTCTGTAGAATGTGAATATTAAGATTGCTTGGGGGTCAGGATTGCATCAAGATGTGAATATTAATATAACTAGGGGGTCAGGAATGCCTCAAAATGTGAATATTAAGACGGCTAGGAGGTCAAGATTGCATCAAAATGTGAATATTTATATAACTAGGGGGTCAGGATTGCATATAAGTAATACATTTAAGTGTTGATACATGTATCAAAATAAAATTCAGTCTTGGTTTTTGATTGCGATCTTCACCTTCTACCGGTAATAATTTATCAGACTAAAAATTACTTACAAGTCCTCTTTAGGGGTTTATCTGTAGTTCAGAAATGTCTGGAATGGCTTCACCTGTATTTCAGACATTCCTGTACTGATCCTGTACTTTAATATTCATGAGCTTATTAATATTTGTGGTTCATAAACAATAGAAAAGTGTCGGTCAGTCAGAAATCCTGAGTGTCAGACACTAGCGACTGGTGCTGACCAGCATGAGCAGATCTCAGTAATGTTTAATTATTTCACCACCAGTTCCCTCTTTTCATCACATTCACAAAATAGTCCTGTCTATAGTCTTCACTTTCCTTCATATGGTTGGAACAAAAATAGCCAAATTTTTTGAGTGAAAACTGAAAACTGACTAAAATTTTGTCTATTGGCTCCAAAATCAGGGTTCAGAAATATTAAAGAATACAAGAAAAAAGTGTGGGGAGAAAAAGGTTAATATTTATGTACAAAAACATATAAAAAGCTTTTGTACAAACCTGCCTTGCTATTTTTTTATTTCATTACAGACAGACAAAATAATAGATAAAGTACAAGAACAGCTCAAATTATTGAGTATAGGAGACGTTGATTTAAGTGACAAAGAAAAGGCTGAATATAAAAAACGAAAGTTGGTGTCTGAAATGTAAGTGGAGAATTTTTTTTTTTAAATTCAATTATGCAAACTGTGGTCTAGGTATGTCATCTATAGCTTCCTTGTGTGATCCTTCAGTTTACAATATCTGCTCCAGATTATCTATTTTGATGTTTTGGCAAACTATTCTCGGTGTAGACATCCAGGCATTTTCACCTACTGGCAACCATCACGGTGAAAGAAAAGGCCATACACTCTCAGAAAACCATACCTTTGGGATGGTTGTTAAGATTTACCCCTACATATACAACATATATAAATTTGGTTGCTCAGGATTACTTCAAAGTTGAGTTTGTGCCTTTTTCTTTGACTGGTCTTCCACAGCAGCTCATGCCTAGCCAATATAAATGCATGGTACATACAAGATTCTGTGATGTAGGTCCGCTTCAAAAAAAACAAACTTTTCAAGGCTTATAAATGTTCATGATTTAGCATGTATGTGTCATTATGAAAAAGTTGTTGCGAACTTACAGTAAAAACTAATGTGAAATTTTCACTTCTACAAAATTTCACAATATTGTCGTTTGTCTTTTCCTAAATTAAAGTGGTTTATTATTTATTTGGCTGCTTTAATATTTGATGTATATTTGTTGTATGAAACAATTTATTATTGTCTTATTTCAGCACTATCAAGTCTTTCTTGGTATCCAAAGGCAGCGAGTTCAGTACGCAAGTTAGTAAACTAGATACCGATCTAACACCAGAAATGATCGCAAGGTAAGACAATCGTATTTTTGCTTGACGTGTTTATTTTCCAAACAAAAATTAACTAAGAAACTATAGAAAAAGTTAGTGTTCAGTATTTTCTTGCTTTCTTTAACTATTTTATTCTATTTAGATAAAAAATGCTATAAACAGATTTAGTTTATTTCTAAGGATGCAACAAAAATATTGTTACTTCATAAGATTAATTATTCATTTAGAGGATTTAATTTTGCAGACATGAGTAGGTTTCAAATTCATTTGTTTGAATGAATGAACTATGAATATTCATTTGGTTTTTATATAAATAAAACCCAGCGATTAATTAACTTGATAATTAATAACCATCAAGTTATAAAAAAAAATGTACATCGAACATAATTTGACTTTTTTGATAATTACAGTATATATTGTAGGAGTGTGAAAAAGTAAACAACAATTTGACTTGATCTGCTCACGGCCAGCCGTGAAAGGTGTTAAACACTTGCTGCACACTGCCTTGAAAAATTGTGAATCGCCAGTTTTTAAAAACAATTTTTCCTCAAAATCAGCGGCAACAGTTCATATATAGACATTCGTAATTCAATTCTGCATTGCATTGTGAAAAATGTCATTGTCAATATTCAGAAATTACCCTGGTACTAAGTCGAACAAATACAGTTTACGATATGTTCATATTTATTTTGTGTGTTGTCTTTTTACAGTGGTTCATGGAAGGATCGTAAATTTAAAAGTTATAACTTTGATGCCCTGGGTGTTTTACCCGTTGGAGGTCATCTTCACCCTCTACTCAAAGTACGCACAGAATTCAGACAGATATTTTTAGAAATGGGGTAAGTTTGATGTCAATCTGATTCATAATATTCACACACATCGTAGTGATCCATGATTGAATACTGTGTAAAATCTTGTTTTCCCACAAATCTATTATAGTCATCCACAATGTGAAAACCTTGCCATCCATAGTATGATAATACAGACAGATATTTGGATGCCCATTCATAACGATTTACTGTGGTCTATTCATGCTCAGAATTTTCATAAATTGCAGGGAATATGTGCTGAACTTTCAAATACAATAGTTTTTTTGCATGTCTGAATGTTGAAGACTGTTTTGACTTTTGATTATGTGTGAATAAATTTTTATAAAAAATGTTAATCTTTTTAATCAAAGTTCTACAAACCTAGGTAGCTACTGATCCCAGAGTACAAATTTAAATTGAGTAAATTATTATCTATTCTCTATCAAATTTTCAAAAAATGTAATGTTTTGTAACATATTGTAAACGATGTAATTTTCACTGCTAGAAATGATTGTGATTTTAAGTCATTTGTGAAGATTTAATTTTGCAAAAGTCACTTACAATCTGTGTCTGAGATCCACTAAAAAACAATTTTGTGATTTTCACAGACTTGTGAAATCTGAGAAAATTTTGCCTCTTGTGAAATTATAGCAGCTTACAGTATTGTAAACATCAATGTACTGGAATCGTGTTTGCATAATTATAGAAGGAATTGAGTTTGGATAGTGGTCGATATTTCATTATGTGCATTTCTAATTTATTTCTCTGCAGATTCTCAGAAATGCCTACAAATAATTTTGTTGAAAGTTCTTTCTGGAATTTTGATGCACTCTTCCAACCACAGCAGCATCCAGCAAGAGATGCACACGATACATTTTTCATTCAGGGTGTGTATTTTCAGTTTGTTCATCGTATGGGCTTCCGTTGTTATCTGATGTTAAAAAAAATGTGTGTGTACTGTGTCCAGGGTTTTTTTTTTTGTGTTTACAACATTTTTTTATTGGGCTTCTTTAATGAAGTTACATAGCATATAAAACTTATGAAACCTTAGTATTTTCTAAGTGTACATTATGTGATACAAGGAATCAAGGGGGACCACTTCTTGTAATGTGCCTCTTGTTTATTATTT